TCTTGCCCCTTGCTGTGGTGCTCGGTGCCCTCCTTTCTCTTCACTTTGCATTGTGCGTCACGTGGAGGTTCACAGAGCAGATCTGTTTTACATGCAACAATTCTCATCTCGCTGATTATAATTCCCTCCGAGTCACAGCACTGAACTCCCTGCCTCCCTGGGCTTCTTGTTTCCATTCTTACCATGCTCCTAAGCCTTCTGAGCCTCGTCTTGCATAAATGATGCTCTTGGATCTCAAAGGGTACGTATCTCCTCCCAACTGTTACTGTTCCCTGGATAGTCCTGAGCCATGGGATGGGGGGATGGTATAATCAAACGTGATGAGGCTTAAGACATAGCATACATGGATACAGCCTCATTAGCAGATCACAGAAAACTCTCTTCCCACATGGGAATTACAATCGAAGGTACAGGGGTCAGAACCCTATCCCAGAGAAAGGGTCTTCAAAAAGGTCGTGGGAAAGAACCATTGTCTTTCCATGCCATTTTCCATGAACTTTTTGAAGCCGTCTCCTAAAATTTTTGGTGGGAGGGGCCACATGATTCAGCTCATAAGACGACCCCAGACTGTGGAGCCCACGTCTGGGAGTGAGCCACAGCTAAGAACTGGAGCTCCCCCACAGAGGAGAAGATCAGCTGCAGAGGTGGGCGCAAGAGACATCTGGGAGGATGCGGGTCTCAGCGTGTTCGGGGGGACATGGCCTCGGATCAAAGGGAAACAAAGAGGTTGTGAGTGCAGGCTGTTGCTTGGTCCTCTCCGTGTGCGCCCGGTCTAGAGCCAGATGGAGGGAGTGTGTCAGGATTGTTCCATCCATACCCACGAAGGAGAGTCAGTAGACATTGCAGAGAGGAGCACCCCGTCATGAAGAGATGCAATGCCGTGGAAACAGCAGTGTGGCTTGATACCCGTCAAGGCCACCAACAATAGCAGGGATGAGTGCACTCATTCTGAGCAACTGGCTTTTCTGTACTCTACCGGTCTGGCCATTACGGTGCTGGGGGAGCCCTTCTGAACTTGGCTGGTGGTGGTGCTGAAGGGTCAGCGATGGACGGCTGGCTAACCACACGGTAGTTCGAACCGGCCAGCCACTCTGAGGGAGAAACATGCAACTTCAAAGTCTCAGAAGTCTAGATAGGGTGAGTCTGAGTTGCGTACGGACTCAACTCAATGGCAATTGGTTTGGGTTTAAGGTTGGATGTTATTTACATGTACTCCTATCATTCAATCTTTTACTCAGCCCATGCCTCCAACAGGCACACAGATGAGTAAATGTCTGCTGTAATTGTCAGAGACCTTGGGTAGTGAAAACAGTTCACCATAGTATCTGCTAACTGAAATATTGACGAGCCGATCAGAGGCATTTCAGAATAAAAGACTGGTGGTCTGATTGCAAAACAATCACTCACTGAAAACCCTACAGAGCGCAGCTCTCCCACTGACTCACGTGGAATCACCATGAGTTCGAGCCGCCGCGACGGCAGCTGGCTCAGCTGGACTCCAAGACCAAATGGCTTTCTCCTTGGGATCAGAGAAGGGATCTAAGCGAGGAGAATATTCCAGGCTTGCACGGAGCGTTTTCCTTGATGGATTCAATAAAAG